GTCCAGAGGACCTACACAATTTTTTTCCTTTTCATTGAATTCATCATTTAAAATAATTGAAATAAGGTCAGTCAGTCTTAAATAAAACTTTCAAAGGTCTTAAAAAGCATTGTATGTAGGATGATTGTAACATGGTAACATTTATTTTTTTAAGTAATTTACGGAATGCCTCTCACAGCTAGTTATTTAGTGTTAAAACAAACATTTGGGTAAAATTAACTGGGTTTTGTATTTTTCATTTGTGTTTATTGTGGAGTTGGTCTTAAATTTCATTTCAGGTGGCATTAAAAAGGTCTTAAAACTTGCTTTGTTGGAACCCAGTTGTCAGTTTTTGGGGGCGGAGCTTCATGGCAGTTCTTGGGGGCGGAGCTTCATGGCAGTTCCTGGGGGCGGAGCTTCATCACAGCTGCTCTTAAACAAACCAAGTACAGCTGGCGCTGGTGAGTCAGTTTCACGTGGAAGGAAGTGAGACACTGTTTAGACAGGCAGATTCACAGCTCAGAGGAAACTTCAGTTTTTTTTTCTGTGTGTTTAGTTTATATCAACACGACCTCCGTGGAGTTACCTGAAGGAGACTTGAAGCAGCGACGGTAAGTTGTTGTAAAAACTTGTTTTAGCTGAGTTTTTATTCATCAGTCCTTGTTTTGCGTTGTGTTGGCAGCAGCTATGGCTTTCACTATCTCCATTATTTCACCCAGGTAATGTTTTTAGAAGGCTGCCTGTAACAACACGAAGCCTCGCTGCTCGTCAGCTGAATATCTGGGTCAGCCTCAGTGGGAAGTCGGAGCGAGGCGAGCAGCTTTTTATCTGAGACCACAGACAGGGTTTTATTGACTCCTCATTTACAGGAACACTGCCTGACTGAGGGTGTTGTGTTGGAGGATAAAACCCACCTAAATGAGGTTAAACCTAAAAACCTTCATGTTTCTGCTCGGAGGAAACAGTTTTCCATGACAYGAAGCAAATTTATCATCACGGAACAGCTGATGAGAGTTAAATGCTGCTGCTGTAAACCTGTACTTCATGATAAGCATTTATAATCTCCTTATTAGTGTTTGAAAAAGACTAGATTTRTAATTTGACAAACACTTCCTCGTGTCCACACGTGGGTTAACTTCTCAGAAAGTCCCCTGAGTTTCATGCAGATGAAACTGATTATTAGGCAGAACTTTCTTTAGGACGTTARAAACAAGTGAACCTGAGTRTTTTAGAGCAGAGGTGCCCAAAYATTTTTCTCGAGAGGGCCAAAATGAAAATCTACCCACAGCTATGGGCCAAATGCAGTAATATAATACATGAAATACAAATACTTTTTAAGTAAAGTCCTTTATTTCTACCAGTTAAGCCAGCAGCCAGTGCAATGGCCCTCTTTTGTTTTAGTTTGTGCACTTGGAGAAAGTCTGCCTAATGCTCAAGTAGCAAAGGCTCATGGGACATTTCATAAATTGATAAAATATGAGTTTTTGTGACCTTTATAATGTATGCAAATATACATGTGGGGTTAAATCTGATCTTATTATCCCTTGTTGTTACTTCATGTTTCCTGTTTAATCCTAATACTGTATATCAAAGATAAAGTCAGCACCATGAGTGAAAACTACCTTCAGCTCTTTATAAAGTCATTTGGTCAATAGAAATCCTGTGTTTCTACATGATGACAGGTTAAAACCTTGTAACTTTGGCAACTGTTGGTGGGCCACATCAAATGGCGTGGCGGGCCAGATTTGGCCCACGGGCCCCACTTTGGGCTCCTCTGTTTTAGAGTTTAGTGAAACTAAATGTTCAAATAAAAATAAATAAGAGTTTAAAGGAGCTAATAAAAGGCAGACAGAAAATTTGGATGTTGCTCAAATGAAAATCCAGCAGGAGACGCAGTCTTCAGCAGAGATTGAACAGTTCCTACAGTGAGGTCTGAAGAGCAGCCACTGCAGGCTACTTACACCTTTTATAAACTTAGAATAAAAAGTAAGGAAATGTGTGTAGTACATTGTTTTTGTTGTAGTAACTATGTTTCTTGGTAATAAATCTTATAGYGAGTAGCTGGAGGTACCAGAAGTACAAAACAAGTTAATAAAAACAACAAAACAATCTGTTTGACAGAGACTTGACCAAATTTTTTTTGTTAACAACCTCCTCAGCTCTACTGCTCATCACACAAATGCATGTTCCTTACAAATGTGGCACCATTTTAAAGAGAAATTAACAGGATTTCCAACAATATAACATTTATTACCAAGAAACATTGTTACAACACAGAAATAAACCACTAAACACAGTGTTCTTACTTTTAGTGCTCAGTTTATTGTAACTCAGATAAGGAGTTAAAATTAAAAACCTGGTCCTAAACAGTCAAAGATTTTAAACTTCAGTCATCAGATGTGAGATCTCAAGTTATTACCAAACATAAAACAATGGAGAACAAACATACGGTAGCTTATTTACTGAAGGGAAAAAAATCTAAAAAGATGTTATTTATTTCTTAACCTGTAATGTAAAATGAGTTTTCACTGCAGTTTCAGTTTAATTTTAAAGGAAACTATTTCTGCTCACAACAAAATCAAGCTTTTTAAAAGAACTCAAAGTTTAGTTTTAAAGTTGCCACATGAAGCGTCYTGAGTGTGTTTTATGAAAGCAGGCTGATCAGTGGGTCGTCTGGTCACTTTATAAACAGTTTAAAATCCTGTGGATGAAATGAGCCTGTTGACCTGACTGCTCTCATTTATGACTGATGATTTAAAAAGCGAACTGTAAAATAAAGAATTGAGAAGGTTTTTCAGGTGAAGTGTTTTTTTTAGTACCTCTGTGAAAGAAAAATAGATTAAACCATCTTTTCATATTTCATAGTCTGTTTCAGGATCGTTTTTGTTTCTTTAAATTTGCTCTTCTGACTGATCGTCATGTAAAGTAAAGCTGAGACTCTCGGATGCTCTGACCACGAGAGCTCCCTGCAGTCTGATTGGCTCACGAGTCTGAACGGGAATCAGGAAACCCTAGAACAATGTTTCCCAAAGTTGGGGTCAGGACCCAAAGTGGGGTCCCGAAACGTCAAGGTAGGGTCCTGAAAAGATTTTCTGAATTAAT